AATGATAAACATATCTACAGTATGCACGCATCGACCTATATCTGGCTTTGCTCGAGAGGGTGTCACGTGTAGACACACACCATCGGCAAGGGTTATGATTCAACCTACCGACAGCGTGCACTTCACGGTCCTTCGCAAGCTCCTTACTGACAGTCTTCCAGTTCTGACTCGAGCCGAAGAGACCATGGACAATCACTGCACAGATGACGAAGTGTGTGTGAGTGGTTGTGGTTAGTCTTATTGTAGCTGATACGAATGTCGATTGAAATGCCATTAGGAGACCATGGATGATCACTACACAGATGACGAAGTGTGTGAGAGTTTTTGTGGTTAGTCTTATTGTAGCTGATACGAATGTCGATTAAAAGGCCATTAGGAGACCATGGATGATCACTACACAGATGACGAAGTGTGTATGAGTGGTTGTGGATAGTCCTATTGTAGTTGACACGAATGTCCCTTGAATAGAGAATCAATGGTAGTGATGAGATGCGAGCGGCCCTAATGTCAGTTCATTCTTGAACAACACTTCATCGAATATAGTCACTCAACCCTTCAAATCGCACAGTATAACTAGAGTATAGATGAGGGAAGTGCTTCTTGCTCTCACACATTTGATTACAAAACGCACTGAAGGTCGTAGCATATGATCAGGACCCAACAACACATGCAACAGCATACAGCGTATCCAAATGGCGAGCCACACCTCCCTAAACCCTAAACCCTAAAACCCTAAAACTTTAAGCTCTAAAAACCTAAACCCAGAAACAATTGATGTTCACAGTAGTTCCATCGGTGACTTCACAGCTACACTACTCACGCATCTTTGAACCCGCTATGACACATCTGGGCCACACCCCGTGTGTATCTTGCAAAGGTACGCATGCAACTGATGATAGCGCAATTCGTAAGGTCTATTTTTGACCTTATACAGACCCTTCCTGGCATGACTATTGTGAGTGTAAGCACGCAGACTAAAATTTACATATAGTAATAGTATTTACAAGCAAATATTATTATGCATGGCTTATTAAAACATATGCATGCATATACGTTTACATATATGTAATTTACAGAGTTGTGTATATATATCTCTAAGTATTGTATAGACATAGGACAAAAAGTTTTAAAGTTGAGCGCATTGATGCTCAGTGGTAAATTTTTTGATAACTCCTTCAGACAAGAATATACAATATGAACGTATGTGCCAATAACGCAAGCATATATATCATACTCTTTCTTGCAAATACTAGGACACGTGAGCATACCCACTGGTGGCAGCTTCGATAACTCATTTCTGAAAACGTTCGCCGCTAGCGGAACAGCTTGCTTGAGTGCTGCCGTAGATCTGGGCGAATTCATGAGCGAAATAGATAAGGAAACATTAACGGAAATATTCGTGGCGACATGAATTAGAAGTAAATAATGACCATGAGCGATTGTATTTACAATGTGGGATGTGAGACTTTGAAAAGTCTATGTTGTTCCAGGAAAGTATTTACTTGACAGTACGTAATTAAGTATACATTTATATACGTATGCATGCATGTATGTAAGTGTGTATGTATTTACGTATGCATGTATGTATGTATGTAGCTATTTATTTATGTATGAATTTATGTATGTATGTATGTATGTATGTATGTAAGTATATGTTATATATACATACTTACATACATACATACATACATGCATACATACATACATGCATACATACATACATACAGACAGCATTCATACATACATACATACATACACTCATATATCTCTACTACTATATATATATATATATATATATATATATATATGATACGTAGAATATATATATATATATATATCGTATGCCAAACCTCTCCGCTGACGTCTGCTTACCTGAAAGTCCGAATTGCATTGCCGTGGACACAGAGCGCGAGCTGCTTACACTTAGAGCGAATGCTAAACATGACGTATAACCTAATATGATTTACCACACTGGTTATCTGTTTGATAGATTCTTCAGTGACAACTCTGGGCTTTGTTTGAATACATACACATATATGAACAATATTTAAAAACGCATGATATATAATACGTTCATCGTTCAATATTGGCCCGAAGTTCAACAACGTCAATTTTTTGTCGATGACTTCATCAGATGCGGAAACGATAACTCTGGTAAACTACTTGTCGTTTATTAATTTCGTACTGTCAAAATTATATCACTATCGTTTCTTGTTCCCCGAAGTCGATTTACGACGAGTGTTGTTTGCTACCAGCAGTAAACAGTCCGTGATTCTACGTTGAACCAATCCACGAGAAAAGCTATAAATAAAATAATGCTCCTTTTTACTCGGCAGCTTTTTTTTTTTAATAATCAAATACATATCCTATTTTTATATTTGAAAAAGGTAGGACAATATTTGAAGATATGTAGCACCCGTCTATTCAGTGTAAATAGCTAGTGGGTGTATTTAAATAAATATATGTAGTCGAAATCCCTTGTTGTCAGTGGTTTGTATATTATTTCCGAGCGCGGAAATTGCACTTCTTTAAAGGTAAGGTGGGCGCTATGCTGTTAACAGATCTATCTTCGCATTCACTGGTTTTCACAGGTGGTGGGCGATAAAAACTGTTTCCTAGATGGCGTGTGATAGCGTCTTTGTGATGGTTGTTAGCTATATACTCATCCAGTTGTACTACTCTTTATTGAGTGCTCCAGTTTTATTTATAAGCACTAGGTTTGGGATATAACATAAATCTTGATTTCGAACTCATGCAGTGGCCTTCAATTTCAAACAATGAGATTGTGCATTCAATTTTATTGCTATGAACCTTGCTTTATGTTCGTGTGGTGTTGTGCGTCCCCACCTGCCAGCATATCGCAGTCGAGCACAAGTACAGATTTGTGCTATGTGATACTCTGGGCGGTTCCATGACGGGATAGTGGAACTTTCTTTGATATTCTTGCTAGGTATACAATACAGATTTTATGTACAGTGATCACAGTAAACGCTTAAAGGCTACCGGCTCAGCGGTGTGTTCATTGATGAAATAGCAACTATAGTTTAAATAGAACGCAATAATAATTCCCACAAAACTTAGGTATTCTCTCTATAGAGAGATGATCCGACAAAATTGTCGGCTGTTTTATACCCGTCCATGGTTCTAAGCCTAAATTTAACACCCGCTCTCCAGATGCGACCCTTTACATGTGCTGCACTCGTTCTGTTGTCGTACCATGGGGCTGATGGATTGTCCACCCGAGTTGAACCAGTCGAAGACACAGCAGAAAGAAATCCCTTGTCCTCCCTTAGCGAGACAAGCGGAACACAGGCCGAAAGTCAACCTGGATGGCTGTCTGTACAGTACAATCCTGCTTTTCCACGATGGCGAGGTCCTGAACGGGCACAAACATCACATGTGCGTGTGCCAGAAAGGTTTTAAATGTGTGGGATGTGCCGATACATGTACACTGAACGGTTTATCTCTATTCCACCCTGGAGAGGGCATCAATTGCGTGCCGGTGGCGAGTCCATCACCGAACAATAAGAGCTTCTGGTATGTGTGGTCCTTATGGTTTTGCGATTAAATTGTCAATGGTGTGGATGAGCAGGTATGTTGAACAAAGGGATAGATACGTGTTGTCTTCCTTTGTCTTTGGGGCTCAAATATAGCTAAACAAGTATGCACTTGATTGTGATTAATATTTTCTCATCGATAATTTATAGGAGAAGGACTTGGTCGCACATTACGGGGGATGCAACTATGGAGGCCGCAATCGCGGCCTGTTTCGCCGCTATCGTCTTCGCTGGCAAGAAAGCAGTGACCAAGTGGCACAAGAACCAGGAGGCTGATCCAATAGCTGAGTCCAAAGATAAAGAGGCCGTACCAGATGGAGCAGCTAGAACAGAACCAGATGAACACACCGCTTTAGTTGTTCAAACGTAGTCAGAGCTGGCTGTTATCATGAGGTATATTTACCTAGATAGCTGTATCTGACAAGCCCCGTCTCTTACAGGGTATCGGGTAGCTAGATTGTGCGTATGACTGGGGCTGTGCGGTCCAGCCATATACACAATCTTGTGCTCGCGATATTAGAGTACATCACTCTCATTGCTACTATGGAAATAAGCTTCAGCGTATAGATATCGCAATGAAGCTAATTTGGATGTATAATTTATTCGAACAACAAAAATGTTACATTAGTATTTATTTCTATGATATGGAGGCTTGCTGCTTTGAACATTGCCTCTGTGAGTATGCTAATTACATCTATAGACACGGCTTGGTAGATTTTGGTTGAGCATTGCCGTTGAGTTTTTCTTTGAATTATGGCATCGGCTATACTCGGGACGACGAGACCGCACTTACTGACGTCGAAGACTATTTTCTAGGCACTAATAGTGGTTGAAATTGGTTAAATGTGACCATATTGCAAGATTGTACGATATATGTGTCTTGCTGACCGCCGCTGCGGACTCTCTAAAAGGCCTCTTGAGTCTTGCTAAAACCTCTTCGCAGTTTTCAATTTTCAATTACTCTTTTATATATCAAAATATCATCCCTCTCTGAAGACATCTCGGATTACAAAAAAAAATACACAGTTTGTATGCACTATATACCAAGAGACCTAAAAGGCAGGAGAGGTTAATATTATTTATTTTTCATATACTTTCTATATAAAAAGAGACTTGGCAGCAAGACCTAGTAGACATTGGCAGTCTAAATATGTATTTAAAAATGTACTTATATCAGACTATGTACATATTGCCAAAAAAGGTATAATAGGCGGGCTACAAAAGCGCGCCAACTGCATATGTGAGCACACGATAGTAAACACGGATTTTTTTAGAATATTGCATCATAGCCTCACAGGCTCTATGATGTATAAAATAAATAAATAGATATGTCGTGTCAACTCACAGTACTAGACTAGCTATACCTCAGCCACAGTGTGTGGTGTGTGTTGAATTGCTAGTAGCGTGGTCGCCTGCGCACGCCTATAAAAGGCTCTCGTTTGCACAAGTCCGTTAACACTTTGTCACTCTCCACGAAAGAGCAACAACAACAACAACAACAACAACAACAAACAGTAGTTGGGCTGGAACCGAAGCTGCAGGAACGCTCGTACGGTCCACACGAGAGTGAGTACATGTCTTTATATCGTACATTTGGGCTGTTCTTTTTATAGTACGCGTGGGGTATACAACATGTGCCGACGTATTTTATGGTAGTATCGTGTGTGTGATTTGGAACGAGATCATAGCTAGAGCAACTGTGATGCGATCACTGCGTTAGGCGTTGTTGGTAGCCACCAAGGTGCAATTCAATAAAACGGCGATGTATGCCCACCTCTGCTCATTGCTCATTGCTCACTACCCATTAACTACCCATTAATCTTAGTTCAGGTGTATTCAATACGGCGAGAATTCACATAGCTATCATAGGCCACCTTCTCTACTTAAATTTGAGTCTGTAGCATAGTCACTGCTTTTGGCTGAGTGATCGAATGGCGAATCCTTTGATTAGCGCCCTAAATACGCTGCCTGTTTCTCTGTATTCCTCTTTCTTTCGTGTTACCTTTCCTTATAATTCTAGTCGCGCCTGGCATCATCGCAGAGGGCACTTTCAAGACACGCTATCGTGTGAGTTACTTAGCTACAATTCAACTGTTGTGTATGTAATACTATCGTGTGGTGAAATCCATGTGGTTCACGGGATTCCTACCCTGTGTATGATGTGGTGCGACGAGCTAGCTGTACATCGTGTGTGCGTGTGGGCTCTTCTCTGTGTGTACTTGCACACTTCACTGCATTTATCGATCCTTTTGTGTAAACTGCCTACCCTGTGCATGATGTGGTGTGACGAGCTATCTGTACATCGTGTGTGCGTGTGGACTCTTCTCTGTGTGTACTTGCACATTTCACTGCATTTATCGAACCTTTCGTGTAAACTGTCTACCCTGTGCATGATGTGGTGTGACGAGCTATCTGTACATCGTGTGTGCGTGTGGGCTCTTCTCTGTGTGTACTTGCACATTCCACTGCATTTATCAACCCTTTCGTGTAAACTGCGGAGGCTCAAGGGACTTTTATCATGGAGTTTTGCGACTCTCAAAGAGGGAATGCAGATTATAACCACCAATACCACATGAGTTTTTTGCTTCCTTATAACACACAAAGTCTACGAAGATGCTTCACTCGAACTAAGAATCAAGGTTATAGCGTACTGATATTCGAGATCGGTATGTTACAGTGAAGTGTTGTATTGTGCATTTGCTTCACTGCTTCACACTGGTTCCAACGCTGTAAATACGATGTGTTGTGTACGCATATATTTAATGGTAATTCAGACATCTGAATCCTAGAACGGTGACATATAAGCCATGTGACTTGATAGCCACAGAGAGCAGGCGGAGGCTTGATGGTCTGGATGTGTGAAGAATAACAGGCTTTCTTCGGAAGCACTTTGGCCACATGACTGACATAGTTGTATAAAAGAGGCGGTAAACCTGCATGAGCAATCTCGCATACAAGTCTTCTGAGACCTTTTGGGATAATGAAACCTTTCCCAGCCCTTCAGACACTGAATATCCACGGTTCGGCTGACGCTAACAGAGCGTGATAAATACAGCTGCGCATAACGTATAAATCGACTCAGAATGCCATTCTTCGCTGCGTCTGGATTCACTGTGAGCTCAGTCCTGATACTGTGTCTCCTATCCGTCTGCAACTGTATGTTGAGCGATGAATACAACGCATCGTCCGCGCTTTTAGTTGTGCGGACTTTAGTTGTTTCAATAGTACACGGCAGTTGTGCCGGATGATTGTCTCTTGGCATTGTGGTGAACCACTCGCCTACTTGCTTGTAGTATGAGATTCAGCCGCTTACATAGAATTCCTGGTAGTTTGATGAGATTTCTCGATTTCTAAATCTTTCGTTTAGAACAGTGTTAATGGAAGATTTGACATGAAAATATTATGGGCGCTTCAGCATATTGATGTGTACTTACACGATTCATATACATGATTGTCGGTAGTACGATGCACACGCACACACCTTCAATCCAGAAAATAAAACATTGTTATACTGCTAAAAGTTATTACATTACACGGTTGTGATGTGTTGCAACTTGTGTTGGCACAGTTGAAGTTTAAATTAACCTTTGTTGAAATACGAGTTGGAATTTACGGCGAGTGTGCACACACAGCTTGTTTATTCATGCAAGTCTACAATGGTAGGGCTGAATGCAAATCCAAAGGACATCCTGTGTCCAGAAAGCTGTGCAGTATTTTATAAATTGCCTGTCTGCAGACGGAACATGGCCTAGATCCTCGATGGCGCTATGGCGTTCTTTTGCAAATAGGTGCAATTACATTCTGACAGACTACTATGCCTTTTAAGTTGGAAAAGTGCTGTACTTGTCACACTACAGCTGGAGTGAATGCCCACGGCTATCTGTCCAAGCCGCAAGCACGCAACGTTCCCAACAATGAAGATCGCCAGTCGTTGTCTGCCGGCGGTCCCCATTCTGTGCTCTCGGGTGGAAAATACTGTCATGGTACGTACAAATTCACACAGCGTTTAACTTTAAACCGGATCTGTGTACGTTTTGTATAGCTATGGTCTTGAATAAGTAAAAACTTGCTTTGAGAAGCGCGCCCTCTACAGAGAATATCTATCTCGAATGAGGTCTGAACTATGTATTCATTACGATCCGCAGGGTTGTGTGGTGATAAATGGGATGCGGACCAGAAATGGAATGTTCCTGGTCCCATCCAGGCTACCTACCAAGAAGGAGAGAGTATCGATCTGGAAGTAACGGTAACCGCTCATCACCTCGGCTGTAAGTGCCTTCCTGGCATAGTGGAAGATATGCTTGTGCGCGCGCGTGTAGTATTTCTTTCCCATAGTGCCGCTCGCAGAGGCACTCATGTACGGTAAACAATGAAAGAGTTTAACTTCGCTCGTTGCTATATAGTAAGACAAAAACGTTATATAATTTAACGAGATATAGACATGTGCATTTATCCCAGGAAGGAGAAGAGACGCTTCTCTCCCGCCATACCTTCTCTGTATCGCTATCATACTTCATACACGCAGCAAGCCTTATTCCCTCAGTCTCCTACACCATTATAACACAAGCACTCTCAAGCATACCTCTCCCATCGACTACGGGTATATAGCAACTCAATTTCTTCGTATACCACTCTTCCACGTCCAATACCACTGCAGGGTTCGACTTCCAAGTGTGTGGCAATCCCCGTGTTGTTCATCGATTGTAAACTATATGGAGTGTGCATGCGGGAGCTATAGTTACTGACAACGCCTCGGGGTCTACAAGCTTGCGATAGCTTTCGATACATTAATCGTAATTATATATCATATGTGACATAGGACTATGGCGCGTTGTTGGTTGATAGACCGAGGAAGTGGAATAGTGCACTACAATACCTGAGCTGCTTAAGTTTGATACTATCTGTGGAAAGTAGACATGCTATAAATTGCTGTTTGCTGTGGAATTTATGACTGAGCAAGCACTGTGCACCATAGCGACCCTCGACATGAATTGTGCAGTCAAGGCTGCGCGTGTATACAATCGACCCTCTGAATCTGCGAATATATGGCAAATGTTGGGGAGACCGACCAAGTAGCGCCCACATGCATGCTATTGTGTGGGTACGGCAACGCACAGTGCGCGTCTGATACTGACATGGACACACTCGACGCATTTAAAGCTTTGTGATAGCCCCGACATCACCGAAGAGTGTTTCCAGCGCAACAAACTCAAGAGAGCCACTTGTGATAATGACTGCGACCTGTGGTGGAAGCCACTCTCTAAATCCGAGACGATGTCTCAGGTATGGTCGTACTTTTAATCCATTATAAATGATCAAGCACCGTAAACAACATGTGTGATATTGTGTGATAGCCATTCCCGGGCCTTTGCAACTCATGCACGTCGATATCGAACCTCCCCCATATAGCGTCGTGGTCTCCGTTTTTTCCAGGTCGCTAAGTCCGCAATACAAAGTGTTTTCCAAAGATTTAATATTAGAAGAAGTATATCATATTTCCTCAACAATTGCTATTCAGCATAATAGCATGATTTCATTGTCACGCTGCAGTAGAAGGTGTAATTTGAAGAGACCGCTACCCAGTACACACACGTAAACAACTCTAAACCAAAACGTCAACCGTAGCTAGTTAACGTACATGCATAATGGTAACATACGCTTCCTCATCCGCACTTGTGCCAGGTCGTTACCGCAAATGGCGGGTACTCGTACGACACGGTTCCGTCGGGAACTGTCACCTTCAAAGCCAGGTTTAAGCTACCCAGCTCTGTGGACTGCACCCACTGTATGTGTATAAGTCAGCATCTGATCTTTAAGTCAAGTGTTAACGAGCAGGGACATAGTGAGGAGCTTCCTGAATCTCGCATCCTACAGCGAGTATCTAAACTGGCGTATGCGAGCATGCACTTATTCAACTGCCCCATATATTCAGTTATTTTGTTCCGGTGGTCGATGTAAATGTCATGCATTTACTTTTCGCTCACCCAATAGACGATCTTTGTAGTCTGTAAAACCTTTCGCGCGACAAACTAATAGTATCAGTGAGACCGCCAGTCTCCAAAGCGTCAGTGGACACCATTGTGAATAGAGCCACGCGACAAAGGGTGACTACTGACATTTCAATTTTCTTCTGCAGGCGTATTAAGATGGCATTGGTTCACTGCCAATAGTTGCCCCGCGAAAAATCCGAGCAAGGTTTGTGTAATGCAAAATGGGTCTATATGAGGCTTGCACCATCATCGATTAAATGAAATAAACATTGGTTTGCAAAATGTGTTATAGTCGCCACGTGCACACCTCTTTTGAAAGTACAACTGGCATTGACCACATGTAAACAATGAACTCGCGTCATCGAATAGGACGAGTCGAAGATCTCCGAGGAATTCTGGAACTGCGCCGATATTCGCATTAACGCACGATCCGGCAGCACCCGCAACACTGATCCGTCCAAAGGCTTGGTAAGTAAACGGCTGTTGTTATCCTGTCGTGTTAGGCTGGTTTTGAGTGCGTATAGGCAACGGTGTCATTCTAGTCCAACCTATTGCCTGTCTAGAACGCAAGTTTTGGTCACAGAAAATAGTCTGACAACTAACACCCACATGAATCTGACACGTAGCTGACATGTTCAAGTTGTCCATGCTTTTTGCCGCGTGCGGTTCGTTCCAAAGTTCATGCCTTCAATCGACACTGATCAACACTCTCGCAGCCTAATCTATCATTTTCTTTACAATTTAACAGTACCAAGTGCCTCTCAGTCTTTCCGTCCTAACCACCTTCTCTGACACCTCTATCAGGCCAATACCCTTCGATCTCGCAAGGGCGAGAACCTCATCCCAAAGGGATACAACAATTACTGCCCAAAAAGACCCCACGGCAAGCCTTCAGACTTCACAGTCAATAAGCAGTGCTTTGCATCCGGTCGCAGTTCCTGTTCCTACTAATTGGGTCGGATTGACATGAAGATGTTCATCTTGCCTCGATTGTACCTAGTGCATCTGGTAAACTTTGCACATCACCACACTCTTGGGGGCACCGCCTACCTGCTACAGCACAGACGTATTTTACTCTTGTGAACCTATTTGGGCGCAAAAGTGACTCTACTGATATGTACTTCACCCCTCTGAGTATGTGCGCGGCCATCTGCAATTCACTCTACACTGCCTGAAAGTGGAACAATAGAGATGACATATAGCAAAGCGTTTGTAACCGAGCAATCTCTCGCATTGTACCGTGCAATTTAACTTACGCTGCTCAGAAACATGTTGTGATATAACTCCTGATCTGATCGAGTCTGTGAACTGACTTTGATTCCTGCAATAAAATGGTCTAAGATAATCCTTGTTTTCCTGAATAGTTATTCGAGTTTCTTTCAAACCCCTTCCTTATTGTTGCGTAGCTTTCTTGCTCTCAATCCACCTAAGCCAGATACAGTATCGCCATTGTAATGTATGAAAGCATGCTTGTCTGTATATATCGCGTCGTATGTACATCATTCTGTGCGGGAGCTGATCAACATTGCATTGCGGCGTACTTAAACTGAAACAAAATTTGCTAAAAACGGTTGTCAGAAGTTCTTTCCTTGATGTTATAGCTCATTTTATTCATTGGTAGGCTTACCTCGATGTACGAACACACAGGCTAATGATTTCCATTTTGTTTTATTGCTAGTGTATGTAGAGAGAGACTGGCTTGCTTGTGAACTCTCCTCTACTGCGTTCGTGGTCTCACTCACCGCTCCAACACAGCCTGTGCCATAGTTTTGAACTGTATATGTACAGAGGTTTATTTCATGAAGTGTATTGTGTCACATTCGATGCCCGTCCCTCAACCGCCCTTGTGTAATCCCAGTTCTTCTGCAACCATCCAGGCTGACGGCTGTAGCATGTCATTTTGGCCTAGCGTTCGATATCTGGCTACGCGGTCACCCCGTTCCTTGCGCAGTTCAGACTAACCCGAATTTGGAACAATTCTCTATCATTCCTATTGGGTTGAACACCATTAAGAAGCGCGTGAGCGAAAATACTCGAAGATTAGATATCTAAACGTCACCTGTATAGATATTTCGGACGCTAATCGGCCTCGCGCTCCACATTCTCTACACTTCCTAGAGTTTAGGCGATATACCCTCATGATCCACTAGAAATAACTATCGCATTCTATTACGCTGTGTGCGCTATGGGATGCATTGCAGCTCTCTAGTCGACAGTATCGACCGCTCATCCCAAACTCAACATTGCCACTCATCAGTCAAGACAGTGTATCACCTCCAAAGCCATGGGACCACTACTCACTTCCTGCGGACATACCAGCCCCACCAATGCGATGATGTCAGACACCGTAAAGTAGGCGCCAATGGCCACCAAGATATAGGCAGAACACACAACTAATACCCAGACCATACGCTTCGCCCCTTGGCTGCGTGGAATTTAGTCTCCAACGGAAGGCCCACTCTGTGATTGTGTGAGTGTTTATCTGCTACTACGACTTCTTTTGACTGGCACTCCCGACACTTAGTTTAACCGGTCGGCTCTGAGTGGCCCATGAACTAGAAATGGTTCGTGTATATGAACATACCCCTCAAGGATCAAAGATATGGCACCGTTCGAAAGCAAGCCGCCTGGCCCAGTTTGCGCTTGCCGTCAGAAGACATAAGGTTCCAGAGTGTAGCGTTGATTCGGAAACAGTTGCCCTCGGCACTGACTCTGATCCCGCTGTACCCAGTAGAGAAGCCTTTCTCTTCTACCATTTTTACAAACTGACGTGTAAGGAAACGTGTTTAAATGTAAGTAGGTATACAGGCGTGTATTTCGTGGCAGTTGATTCAGAACAGATTCGACTCGCTTGTACAAGCATATATTATTTTCGAACGAAATAGTATTGTTATTCTATGCGATCGATTATAACAAAAATGATATCAGCACCTCGAAATAGCGTTATCAAAAGCCACACGTGCTTCATGAAGATCGTACAGTTATACATATGATCGTACTGGTGGACACTACATCCAATTTATCATACCATACAGTATGTACAATATTTCAGTAGCTGTTGCTGACACACGTCATAATATACTCATAACCATTGGTAAATCGTCTCGCGGTGTATTTATATCCGATTACAAGACACTCGTATATACACTGGAAAGCGCTACTTCCACTCTTTTTTAGGTGTAAACGACTGGAAGAAAGAGTGAACCCTACTTAACCCCCTTGACAGCCTTTGCAAACAACTGAAGATTAACCTCGCTACAGAAATGGTGCTCTATTCACTGCGAGTCGTGCTGGAGAAAAGATTAAGATACCTTTTCTCTATTCTCGCGAGCATCGGGTTTGGCAGAGTGACTGGACTTCATTGTGGTCAGACTATCCCAGTCCACCTGGAACTGCGCCAATGCAGCATCGTTACCTGAGAATTAGGGCGTTAGCAGTTTAAATACAGGTACAAAATACACCCACCTATCACATACTACGAGGGCCGCATAATCTCATTGATCTCAACTCCCTCCTGAAGTGAGGATTACAACTCAGAATGTAAGCACAACCGAGTGACCGAGCGAACGAGTGAGTACGCAACAGACTAAAATCCGTGCTCTGCCTTTACGGACACAAGCCGCCAACAATACAACGTACCGTAATTCATAACAGGCTCAGTTTGTACACCATGCGAAAGTACGGCTGTATGAGGCAGTGTTTTCAACCTGAAAGGAATTCGATTCGCGAAGATACGGCATAAGACTCGATCACGGGCAGATCTGTATACTTCGGTGAAAAACAAACGTCACACGCGCACAAATGGACTACACGCACAGCTGAAAGGAACTTGCGCACAAGAAACTTTTAACCACGTAAATCTCACATAACTCAGATATATATCGCGTATCCCAACTCAGCAAAGAATGAGCAACCATAATACATGACGTTCACAAACCAATTAGAATAGGCAAAATCAAGCCACACACGGAACGGTTCGGCCATGTCAAAG